CCCTTGCACAGACTCACACCACCTTTCAGGATGTGCATCGCAGACAGGCTGTCCTCCAAAGCCGTCACAGGGAAGACGGGTCGTTGTCACGACCCCCCCAAGCCTCGCGAGGGCTATTGGGTCTCCTTGGGCCCCGGCTCGCCATCACACCCACTAGCAGCTGAAGGACAGCGTTGCCTTCTGTCATGGCAGTGGCCACTGTCCCGATCTGCGTGGCCATGTCACCGAGCCTCCCTGCCACCATTGTTGCCCCCGCTGTCTGTGCTTCTGCTATCGTCGCTGCCGCCCTGTCCAGCCCGTCGACGTACACCCGCGTTGATTTTGCAAGTGCAACACTCATCCCTGACATGGACGAAGGCCCATCCCCATCGTTCACCCTCCAACTGGACGTGCGTCTCGTCTTACCGGCGCTGGCGTTGCCATCAGATCACTCCCAATCCGAACCTCCTCTGTCACTTGATCCTCTCGCCGAACTGTCCCCGTCCTTCGCATTGAGAGAGTCCGAGTTCAGCGTGTTGTCACAGGTCCCCGACGGCTTTTGCAGAATCCAGTCCATCTCCGCCCACAACCTCCGATCGAAGTTGGCGTACAGCCCCTCCGCCTCCCTCTCTTCTACTGTCATGTCGAAGTATCCTGACTTCCCAGACCGACCCACCTTGTCTGCGAGCACCTTCAACTTCTGCCCCAACGCGAACCACTTCTTCTGGCAGTCTTCCGCAGATCAATTCCACCCTTCATCCCTCATCCGACGGGCAATCCACTCCCATCTTTCCCCATGCTTCTTCAGCTTGTGCACACTCGACGCATCCGCCATAAGAGCGTCGTCTTCGCGCTGGATCCTAGCAAGAGCCAAGCACTCTTCTAGCGACCATTGAACTTTTTTTTGTGTGGGAGGAGCTTGCGCACCTGCCCTGCCACGAACGCCTCCTGCATCCGTGCCCTGCATGACAATGCTTCCATCCGCGCAGCCTCCGGCCTGTGCTGACGTGGACGTTGCAGCTGGAGGACGGCCACGTCTGCGGCCAGTCGGCCCTATGCCTGCCCCGGCTCCTGTGGTGGGGGCAAATGGAGATGGTTGTTGGAGCACCGCCGCGTCAGGCACATTGCTAGCATCTGCCCGCTGCCCCTGCGCGGGCGTTGCATGGCCACTTCTCTCCGCCGCTGGTCGAGAAGGATTGGAAGTGTCAACAGTCGGCACATGTCCCCCGCCGCATTGTTCATAGCATCCAAATTCGTGACTTGCGTCACCACACCTCCCCTTTGCAGCGTTGYCRTSCTCCCGCTCATGATCTGCTCGGCGATCACCGGTCACCCCAAACCCCGCCCCGCTCCCGTCGATGCCGCACTCCACGTCGTCGTCTTCCCCTAGCAACGTTGCTGTGAATCCCGGAGGAGGCACCGATCTAGCTGCGAAACCGCTGAAAGGAGAGGACGTCGCGCGGGGTTGAGGGGACCCCAGCATCTGCTGTCCGTCGTAAGCAGCGGCCATCGCCGACTGCTGGAAAGGCAGCTGGCTCGCGCACCGCATTTCACGCAGGCCTGGTGGATCATTTCGCCACTGCGGCAGCGAGGCGACTTGGGAAGGAAACGAAGGGGGAACTCCGTACCTGTCCGCATCCTGGCTTAACATGGACAGGTGTGCTGGTGGAGGGGCAGGTTGTAAGCCCCGCACACCCTCCGACCGGTTTCGATGCTCTGTCTCGCCATACTGCTCTTGAAAGGCTGCCTCCTGCGAGCAACGCCGCCTGTCCATGTCACGTACTCGCCCCCCTCCTCCGGAAAGCTCCAATGTTTCGGTGGATTTTCCGGTGTTCTCACTTCGCGACAGACCTTGGGTGGACGACAACCCACAGTACCACCGCTACCAGCAACAGCACGACAATGAAGAGAATGGCGATGGCCACAACAACCAAAAGAAGAAGAAGGGTGATCGCCAATGGCCAAAGGAGACTGCAGTCCGTGCACGTCCTTCCCCCTACAGCTCGACGACGAACGACCCTCCCCGCAATGGGTGAAATTGTCCTGTGTCCCCTCCCTGCCCGTGAGCCGCTGTGGACGTCGCACTGTCCCACACTCTCCCACAAGCCCCCCAGGATGTGTAGGTGACGTCTGGCGTGGACGAAGAACGGCTCGGTAAGGAACTGGAGGATAGGAGATTGGATGATGCGAGCGGCAAATGCCTGACAACAATCGAGCGCCCGTCCAAGCCGATGTCCTCAGCACAGGGTGTAGACGACACACGCGAGCAATCTTTCCCGCGTCCCCTTCAGCACGGTTCGCAAGGTGTGCTTTCCATGAAGGCGATCCACAAACGGATTGGCCACATGCCGCAATCCAATGCCTTGCAGCAAGACCGGCGCCGATCACCGTCAATGCCCTGCCTCCAACCCCGGTCGGCTGGAGTCGATGCACACCTCGGGCCAGAGTGCGGGAGATGGATGGCGTGCGCTGCATCGCTGTCCTGGCTATGGCGTCGGCGTCGATGATAATGGTCGACGTTCCGTCGACATGCATGCCGCATGCAGACGAGGGGCTCATGGACAGAGTGCGTGTTCGTTTCGGCCACCTGCATTCCGTTCATACATTTTTCGCGTTTTTTTTTTTCACCTCCCAGCCTTTTCAAATTTCAAATGTCCACCCCGCGCCGAAAATTCAAAAACGCGCGCGGGGCCGTCGCGAGACACCATGGGGTAGCCTGGGTCCGCTCCATTTGTTGTGGGACAGCGGGTGCATGTCCGCCCTCTGGCCAGGACCACTCCACCGGACATCTCACAGGTACGGCAACCTCCATGCACGCACCTCTCCGTTGCCTCTCCGTTGGCTACGGAAGGGGTGCCCCCCCCCCTGCCCTTCTGTAGCCGACGGAATTCTTGGTTGGCAGGGGGTACGAACGGGCCGTGGGGGGAGTGAAAACACTTCGCTCGATTTCCAGAAACCACCGCGCACGTCTGTGGGATTCCGCGCACCACATTTTGGAATTCCAAAATGTTACCGCGCCGTTGTGGGGTCCCTCCCTTAGTCTTCTTTACCTTGGTGCTTTTTACTTGCAGTTTCATTTAGGATCATTGTCAGATTTGTCGTGAGCTGACTTTGAACCGTCGCCACTCGGGTACTTTCTTTCTTCCGCTTTCTTAGAAGTTGTCGATTCTTTGTGGGTTGTGTTGTTGTGTTTTCCCAGGTTTCGAACCTGGTACCTGGTTGGTCCTCCTGCTATTTTTTTCAGTATCCTTTTCGTTTAGGTATCTGGACAGGATTTCGGTACGTGATGATTTTGTTCTGTTTCTCGGGTATCTCCTTTTCACTTGACTTCTTCGACGATTAATATGCGTGATACTACGTTCTCGTTGCACTTGCAACGATGACCCCTGAGAAAGGCTGGTTGGCGGGCCAGCCGAAACTAGTCGGGTCCACGCCGTTTTCATTGTAATATTTCACGAAACTTCACGCCTGGTTTTTTGTATCTGTGTTTTCTTCTTCTTCTTCTTCTTCTTCTTCCAATGCTCTGGCGGTTTTTGCCAGAGCCACCGACCCGTTCGGAGCATCGCTGAAGACGCTGTCCGAGATGCCGGTTAGGATAGGGAGGGGAGAGGGAGGAGCACGGAAGGGGATTGGAAGGAGCAAGGACGCATGAAGCGGAGATGGGAAGCGGGCCCCGGTACGCAGTACCGGGATGTACACTAGATAAGGGTGGGGGGCAGGGGGCGTGACAGCGGTGATCGAGGTAACGTCATCCTATAGGGGAGGAGCAGGACCCGGGGGGGGTAAACCGGGGTGTATACTAGTTAGGAGAAAGGGAAGCCCCACAACCCCGGTTCCCAGTAATGAGAACAGGGATGTACACTAGGATCGAGTTCAGACGGTAGCTATAGCTAGAGTTAGTTACGGCAGGGTGAGGCGGGAAGGCGGGAAGGCGGGAAGAGGTAAGCAGCGTGGAGAGGCAGGATGGGTACCAGGAGTACTGGTGGGTGTGGAAACGTGGGAGACTAGGATAAGGTCACCGGGGCCAGTAGAGTCGGAACCGGTTCACTGGAAGGTCGTTTCAGACTGGCTGATACATAGCTAGGAAGGCAGGCCCGGTGCAACGGAAGATTACGGCCTGAGGCCGACTTCGCAGCGTACGCCCCTACCGTCGACCGGTGCACGTGTATTTTGGCAGTACCTGGCGCATGGGAGGCGCTTGCGTGAGGTTGGCTGGAAGAAGAGACATACGCATGAGCATGCCAGGTCGGTTACAAGCGAGCCAAGTCGGCACCCGCCCAGTCAGTTGCGGACGTGGAGAATGTGTCAGTATAACTCTAGAGGGCTTACGGTGGATGCGGGAGAGTGGAATGCCCCTTGATAAGTCCTGGTGCGCAGCCAGGCGAAACGCGTCGGGGAATGTGCGCGTTTTGAGCACAATGTCTGTGTAGGAGCTTCATTGCTTATTGCTGGAGGACATGGACGCATAGCGATTGGCCTCGCTGTTTCAGTTCAGTTCAGTTCAGTTCTTCTTCTTCTTGCCTTTTGTCGGTCCCTGGATTTTGGTCTATGATATATACCTTTAAATTGAAGTTAGTCTGCTGATTTTCAACTGCTACTACAAGCTCAGTTGGCACACCCGTGAACTGTTGAAATACATACCGAAGTTCGAACCCAGATGTAATCAGGTGAACAGAGTTACAGAACATAATAAGTGTGAATTGCCTGGGGCCGGTCAGTTCAATGATGATATCTCAAGGGAACTTTTTTTTTAACAAAAGGAGAGAAGTGCAATGAGGCCCTTTATTCATCGCATACTTCCACTTACTTTCCACTGTACAAGTGGAAAATCCGCCGGACAGTGCTCAGAAATCGCATGGACAATCAATCAGCTGTCCGGCGATGTACAACTTGCAGCCTGCAAAAGTCGTTAAACGGACGGCCCTTTCTCCAACCCACGGACCCAACTCCTTTTTGGACAGTGAGCCTTCAGTATGGGCGGGCAAAACCCTATTGATGAGGAGTTTGGTAGTGCTGTCACGACGTCTGGTAGCGAACTCACGAATTGGGGAGTCGTGTTGGGGAGTTGGACACTGGGCAGTAAGTGGAGCGAGGCCGCTTGGACACAGTTTTTGGTAGTGAACTCGCGAATTGGAGAGTTGTACAGTGGAGCCAGGACAGTAGTCAGAGCTAGAACACAGTGTTTTCTAGCTCTGAATACTGTCCGCGCAGTTTCCAAAAAAATTGTGGTCTTTCTAGCAGCTAGAGGTATGGAAATTTCAACGGTCCGTGCTCGGTGCCAATGGGCCTGGGAGACCAATGGGCATCTTTGGCTAGACTGCCCTTACTCCAAGTGAATCTGGTCTTGATGGCGCAGAGACTGGGCCAAGTTACCATGGTCATCCTTCGCATGGACATCAGAACTTAATATCCCTTTTGGCATTCCTGCAGCCCCTGATAGGGGGAAGCGCTCGTCATGCTACGTGGCCCAGACCTTCAGGGCCCTTATCATGACCACTATCTGGGCAGAAAGGAATCAGCATGCATTTCGACAAGAACGCTGCAAAGACGTTCAAAGCAGTCTTCAGAGAGTCCTTCAGGCAGTGCATATGGTCGGATTGGTACCGCAAAGCCAAGGGCGGATCAGCTCAAAAAGGAACATCGTGCTTCTGGAAGACATGGGGTGACAAACACAGCGGGATGAAAGCACAAGTACATCCAGCTATTGGCCGCGGGCGTCTGTCAGAATCCGAAAAGCAACGCAGGCCACCTATATTTTTTAATAGATGGTGCGCCTGCACCTTCTTTTTTGGATGGCATCTCATAGACGATGAATTTCTTTTCAGCAAGCCTGGGGCCGTGTACTAGCGGTTTAAGCCATGTGGATAGGGGCACAGAGGAGGGGACCATGAACGGCAGCACTGATCATGATGATGACGCTACATGACGGGAGGGGACGAGAAGCAGCATACATGGACGAGGATAATGATGATGGTATGGAAGGGGAGATGAGCAACTTCGACCCAAAGTTCAGGCGAAGAAAGTAGCAGTAGTGCTGATCAGTTCGATCATGTTTTTTTTTTGTTCTTTTTTTTTTTATACTTTCATGATCATATCTATCAAAAAAAAAAGTAACAATGTCCATAGATCGTGCTACTCTATCCGAGATCACAATTGCCTACTGCAAGGAAGATGAGCCATAGCAAACTTCAGAAATCAAACAGCATCATACACATGAGACCAGATAGTCGTGACCTCGAACCAATAGCAGAATTGCATCACGAGTGTCACCAAATAAGAGTACAGCAAAAGCTCATAATTGACAATCATGCTGGAATAGTCTCATCATCATCAACGAAGAACCAATGTCGATATCCTATCTGGCGCTCGGCACCCAGACTACAGATGGCAGATCCTATCTAGCCTAATCTACAATGCCGCCGATGACGTCAACAGCTCCCCAAAGTACGAGCAGATCTCGGCCAATGCCAATGCCGCACGCTTCAAGCACCAGGTATGTCTCTCGTATCACTCACAACCTCGTCCCCCAACTCACAGATGCCACTTGCACCCAAGGACCACCATGAGCCCCATCCAGCATACAGCAGCGCAGCTCGGCTATGGCTACCAGCTCGCCCGTGAGCGCATGAGCCTGGCCAGCGTTAGCACAGCAGCGCTTGCGCAGCATGCAGCCAGTGCCCGAATATCCAATGCGTAGGCAGGCCCTTCTCTATATCGAAGTGGCCTCTTGCTGCATGCGGTAATGCGGTACTGGGCCCTGGCCCAGAAGCTTCCGGTAGGCCCCACGAGCCTGAGCCTCAGTCCGAAGTAAACAGGCCCAGGGCCTGTGGTGGTTACCAGCACCCAACTGCCCTCAGCCTTTTTTGGGTCCACTTTGTGTATCCGGCCCAGGGCCTGCCTCAGTTACATGCAATGAAAGGCTGCCTGAGCCTGGGCGCTTCCAACCAAGTGGCGCTGCGCAGCTGCCTGAATTTCCCCAGTTGCGTGGTGACCCCAAAATGGCCTGTAGGCCTCGGCCGTGCCTGCCTTCACTTAAGGCAGCCGACTGTGTGAAAAATAGGCCCTGTAGGGCATATCCAGGCCCTGTGCCTCGCACTACTGTCTTCACCCGAATACAGTCTGCATACAGCCATGATGACTGGGCCTTCTATTCAAGTGCATACGGTGGGCTACCCTCCTCTTTTTTTTCCTTCTTTTTTCTGTGATACTGTCCATCCCGTTGTTTTTAAATGAAGGGTTTTCGGTTCTATCCTTGTCCCCCCCAGAGAGCATGGGGTTTTCTTTACCTGAGAAATCATTATACATCAATTAAAGGTATAAAAATTAAAAACAAGAAGTACAGCCAATTGCCCAGCGGCTACTCCCTGCATTTCCAACATGCACAGCAGATCTCATTCGGAATGCTGTCACACATCTCCAAGCTCAAGGCACTCCGCAAAGGTGACAGGCTGTGTCTCCAAGCTCAAGACACTCCACAAGATCACAGCAATGCATCCAAACTCGAAGACGACAGGGCACACATGCTATGAACAGCCTTCAGAGACACACCTCCAACCTCAAGGCACTCTGCCAACGCAAACACGACAAACTGTCTTTCCAGTGCGACATCACTTTTGAGTGCCAAATGAATAAATGTGTGTGGCATTGTATGTGGTGAAGTACACGACGCACACACACACACACACACACACAGAGAGAGAGAGAGAGAGAGAGAGAGAGAGAGAGAGAGAGAGAGAGAGAGAGATGGGAAGGATATGCATGGTTGTCATTATCGGATCATATGTAAAACAAAAAATCATGTTCGCCCTCCGCTGCTTACTACTGCTTCTTTTCCCTTTCGCCTCCCCTCCGCTTGCTGCTTACTACTGCTTCTTTTCCCTTTCGCCTCCCCTCCGCTTCTGCGCCCCGACCCTATTCCTCTGCCGCGGCGGGTCCACTTGTATTTTTTAACAGACGGTGTGCCTGAGCCGTCTTTTTCGGATGGCATCTCGTAGGCAACGAATTTCTTTTCAGCAAGGCTGGGGCCGTGTACGAGCGGTTTAAGCCAGGTCCTACTGGGAAACGAGTTCTTTCTTCATGGCTAACTAGTAAGACTACTTAGGCTTGGAATGGATCCACCTTTTGTTTCAGATTGTTGATCGGATGAGCTGACAATGCGAAGCTGGATAACATCCAGCAGGCCCAGTAGCTAGATTCCAGGCTTTCTTTCTGTTTGCGCTTTTGTTTGGTCCAACTCTCCTTTCGAGTTTGCAGACATATGGGACGCTGGACCCCGTTTCCAGCACTGAGCCTAAACTGGGTAACGGGCCCAGCCCCCTCGGGCGGATTCCCGCCCTCCTTATGATAAATTTTTATTTTTTTTCAAAGGCCAACCAATTCAGTTACCTGTCGAATCTGGACAGGATGGCCTTTCAGGCCTTTTTTTAATTGTCATTGTAGTATTACGGGGAACCCCGTAGCAGCCACATCCGTGCTCAAGCCTCCAACGAGGGAACACGCGGGAGCTGCACCCACCAGCAGGTGCGATACCTGCAACAGCAGGTGGGCGATGCCGGCCAGGGTTCAGCCGGTAGCATCAGGACCGAGCTTGTTTCTATGGCCCAGTCACTGTGCCTCCCCTCCGGTCCCCTCCCGCTACGGTCTCTGCTCAATGCCACTCGGGGGGGCCAACGGCATCTCGCGGTGGCAGGCGCCAAGTTTCCCCAGGAAGGTACATGCGGCCAATGGGGATTGAACCCCCCAAGACCTCCTGAATGCCGCTTGCGTGCCTGAGCAAGTTGTTGTTAATTTTGCGGCTGTCAAAGGTTATTTAGATCAAATTCAGATTTCTCAAATTCTATAGGCCGCTGGAATAAATGCTAACCTTACCAAATTAAAGAAAAATAATAATAATAAAAAAGTCGTACAGTGGACACTAGTGGAGCGAGGCTCTGTAAGTATCCACCCCCACCGCAGACGTCTGACTGCACAGACTGTCAGGTCACTCACGACGCCCTCAGCAGCCAAAAGAGCCCGCAGTGGACACACAATCACAGCGGTAGGAAATATGCAATCCACACTCACACAGTCGGCATAAATCTGTCTCCGCCACATGTCGTCCCCGTTTTGTTTTGAATTGCACATAAATGATTGCCTTATTTGCTTTGTGCTCACTTCGCAAGGGTCACGCTAATCTCCTCTGTTTCTTTCTATAGTTTGACGGATTCCCAATTACTGTACCTTTCTTTTTTCCCCCCACTTGTTTAGCTCTCCATTCTTTACTACTCGTTTTCGTTCTGTCGGAGAGTGCGCAAAACCACAAATTGAATATCATTTAAGACAGGTACCGTAATTTAACAGGGCCACGAAGAAGAAGAAGAAGTAGACGAAGAGGAGGCGGAGGAGGACGACGACGACGACGACGACGACGACGACGACGAAGAAGAAGAAGAAGAAGAAGAAGAAGAAGAAGAAGAAGAAGAAGAAGAGGAGGAGGAAGAAGAAGGCCTGTAAATAGCAACAAGGAAAGAGAAACCCATGAAGCCCAGAATGCAAGACGGTCACCACGATATATACTGTATAGCATGCCGCAATGCAGCAAGCACAAATGGTGGCTGGGACAAACAGGTGGAATTGATCGGAGGTGACTTTCGCTGACTCGTCAAGATCAGGAGGCTAATATGTAACATTACACAATGATTCTCTCTCGCACGCAACGAGCTCCGGCGGGCTTGCATGCATGCATGCATACGCGCTTGCTCCTCCTTTTCCCTCTCCTTTGTTCCGCTCCCCTTTTCCTGACCTTCAAAGTTCTGCTTTCCGCCACGGCTCTCTCGCCATTCGACCTTCTTATTTCAGCCCCGTCCGCTGTTCATGGATAAAGATCCCATCGCGGCCGAAGACGGGTAGCGCCCAAACGACAACGAAAATGGGGAGGAAGTCTCACCTGGAGACCGCAGCCTAACACTCCATGCAGCCTACTGGAGGCGCGACTGCCGTAGCATTCAAAAGGAGACCGCGAGACGTGTATTCCAAGCCCAAGACACTCTGGACAACCATCCAACCGCCAACCCTCTCTCTCTCTCTCTCTCTCTCTCTCTCTCTCTCTGTGCGTGGCAACAGTCTAGCACAGTAATGCTTTTCTTTGTGGAGTTTGTGCATAGCGAATATCATATGACGACACACAAACACGAACTAAATATACATATTATATATCTACTCACTCTACCTATCTACCTAACTCCCTGTCTCCCTCTCCGTCTACCCTTCCATTATATATGTCTCTCTCTCTCTCTCTCTCTCTCTCTCTCTCTCTCTCTCTCTCTCTCTCTCTCTCTCTCTCTCTCNCTCTCTCTCTCTCTCTCTCTCTCTCTCTCTCTCTCTCTCTCTCTCTCTCTCTCTCTCTCTCTCTCTAGCTGACGGTGATCTTACCCCTCATGACGCCGGAGTGAGGTTCGCAGTAGTACTCATAGTTTCCCTTCTCCGTGAGCGTGATGGAGTATTCTTCGCCTGCCGCGTTGAAGAGATCATCGTGGCTGAGCGCGTCCACATTACCAGGGCCCTCATCGAACACGATGTTGTGGGGAAAGCCGCCTACGTTTTTGAACGTGATCTTCTCACCTGCAGCCACCGTCACTGCGGCAGGATCAAACAACAGTTGCCCATCAGCAGTTCCCATGGAAATGACAGTGTCAGCGTGCGCGCCGAAAGCCAGAAGCAAGCTGGCGCCTGTGGCCACCAGCGCATTCCCGGCCACCTTCTTCGCCGCCTCCAGCGACGCTCGCGGAGCGACCGACTTGACGGAGACGGCCGTCGATTTCGCCGACGACACCTTCGCGGAAGACGAGGATACCCTCAGGCCCGTGCACGATGGCACGGCGACCTGCGCAGCAGCAGCTGTGGACGCCATAGCGTTCGGAGTCTTCTCCTTTGGGGGCACAGAGCGTAGACAAAGGAAAGACTCGGCCTTGGCAGCGCTGTCTGCCTCAGGGACGACTCTCGTAGGCTTTGCTCGAGATGTCGATTGATCGATCGACCAACCAATCGCTCGCTCGCTCCGCCAGCTCGAAAGGCACTCGCCACTGTTTTAAGCCCCCACGCGACTAGATTAGAAATTCCAAACTCTTATCACTTTATCCCGACGGTTCTGATAAGGTGTGGTCTTGCGGCTCTCCTTTTCCCTACCCCTTCTTAACCCCTGACCCCCGGTAGGACTCGTCCTTCCCCTTCTTGCCGTATCATCGTCTTCGCATTGCCCCCCTCACTGCGGTGCCGAGATCTCCTTACCCAAGTGGGTTCTCGATCCGACGAAGGATTTTGTTCTAGTTATGCCACCGTAGATCTGCTTCGGATCTACGGCCCTCCACTGTCGACAACACGGCAGCGCCCGCACGTGTCCACACTTAGAGCATTTGGGCCGAGCGGGCTCCGGGCCAGCTCCCTAGAGTAACCAGTCGGTGGGACGTTGCCTTTTGGCAAGAGTTTCCCTATATGTATCAGGACGGGAAAATGGACCACAGCTACTGTTCCGTGGACTCTTGTAATAGCTGCGGGCAGGGTGGGATGTGGAGCCACGTCTGCTATTACTGGCCTCGCACTCCTAAAACAAAATGACCATCAACTGGCCTAGCTCAGTTGGTACACCCATGAACTGTTGAAACACAGACTCAACCCAAGAGCCTAGCTCAGTGGGTAAACCATTGAACTGTTGAAATACAGACAGACACGAGTTCGAATCCAGATGATGATGGAACTTGATTCATGAGTAAAACCAAATATTTGCAAAGCACAGTAGGAGGGGACGCTGGACCCGGTTTCCAGCAGGTCTTCTATCTGAGATATTCTGAACAGTTGGATCAGGAGTCGAGCTGGGCTCACAAGCGAAACTGGCTGAGGCTGCCAGGATAACTCCGGGTTGAATTGTGAGGCCCCGGGGGCATGGTCCCACTAGCAAACGGATAGGATAGAAAAGAGTTTGTGTGGCAGTTGAGTGACCCAAATCCTGCCGTGGCCGTGATCCCACGGTCAGTGTTTTACATGTATTACCCGAAAAAGGAAGGAGACCTTGGTTCCCCTCCTCCCTGGGCATGCCGGTGCAAAGTTGGTTCCCCTCCCCACTGGGCATGCCGGTGCAAAGGAAGCTTCCCGCCAAAATCTTTTCAATCCGTTGGGGGCATGGCCAACCCCAAAAAAAAGATTTTCAGTATTTTGCTTGCTGTTGTGCAATTATCTCATTGGGTGGAGCCCTCCTTCAATCACGGAGTCTATGGAGGGTGTCAGGATCAGTGCTGACAGAAGTCGAGTTTATTCCAGAAAATGTTGGAGTTACTTTTCTGCACTGTTGTTGCAACCACCACCATCAGCTCATTTGTGATCTGATGGCTGGGAAGCACTCTGACGTGATTTCAGGTGGGAGGTCTCTGTTTCTTTTTTTTTTTTTTGCCTTCCTCCTGTTTTCTCACCCCAGAAATTCGTAATGAGCCTGTCATCCCTCTGCCACTCGGTGTCACACTGGATCGGCCAAACTCCTATCCACTGCTAATGGGACCACACCCCCGGCCTCGTGTTTCAATGGTTTTGCTATATAAATTTCAAGCTTTCCAAAAAAAAAAAAAAAAAAGAAGTGCCTGGGGTCGGTCAGCTCAAATTGATACCTCAAGACCGCCGCCCTTTTCAAAACAGAAAAAAAATTGAAACACAGACTCAAGCTCGAATCCAGCGACTATCAGATGAACAGAGTAAAATCCTTTTTTTTTTTTTTTTTTTTTTTTTTTTTTTTTTTTTTTTTTTTAAACAACCCGAAGCTGTGATAGAGGTGCTGATAAGAGCAGACACATCTGTTGGTGGGGAGCTGCACCTGCTGGAAACCGGGTCCAGCGTCCCTAAACATCGTATTTCATGTTGTACACAGACCAAATGAAACGGGCAGCAGTAGCAGGATGACCCAACCCTGATGGAGACAAATCATGAGTAAGGCCACACATCTACTCTGAATTGCCTGGGGCCGGTGCTCCACTCTGAGGCTTGTGCTCCACCGACTGAGGGCCTCATCCCACCATACTTACGGTAAGCAAAATATCCATTTTTATGGTATCCCACCGGCTTCCTTGAATCCCGGTGTGAACGGAGTCATGTGAAAACGGTTCAGGACGTGGCGTTCGTAGAGGGAACTTCGGGAGCTCCGTTTTGCCGTTTCCTAAAAGCAACGGGGCCGTACCCTGTTCCGAAAAAGCTGTTGTGTTTTTTTCCCTTTTTTTTTTTTTTCTTCCTGTCCGTTGCCGGGCCTGGTTCGTCCATGGTCTCGAAGAGGCTTGCTGGTGGGACACGGTTCCGGCCCACAAACGTCCGTTGGAATTCGGAAAAACAGACCAACTTTGCAGACCGCCCAACAAAGGCCGCCTCCACGAATGCGAAACTTGCGGACCGGGATTTTACGTTTCTTTCGGACTTTTACTTACCGTAAGCATGGTGGGATGAAGCCCTTACTAAGTAGAGCCCAAAATTCAAAATAATTAGTGAGGATCCACAGGCCACTGATTTCATGATCTACTGATTTCATGATTATTACGGGAAAGTCGCTCTGCACGCTGTACGAATTCATCCCAGGCAAATGCTCGGTCTTTGCATTAGCCGGACCCCACGGGTGGCCCCACCCCATCCTTGACCACCATGGTTGGGCCAGGGGGCAACATGCATCCCCTCTGATGGCTGGAGAGAGACAGCAAAGCTATGTTTGCAGGGGTCCCCTGTCTAAGCCTTAGGAGTAGTGGTAGGCAGGTAGTGAAGGTGAATTGAAAGAATTTGAAAGATGATGAAAGATTTGAGAGAAGAATATAGCGTAGTTTTCGGGGGGGAGGGAAAAAAAAAAAGCACCATCAGATGACAGAGATTGGGCACTGGTGGGGTAGTGCATTCTCGTAGTGAGCAAAGTGAAAAGTGGTGTGGGACACACTCAGCCACGAGGAAGTGCCCACGCCTGAAATAGCGGAATAGATGGGGAAAACAAGCCCAGTTGTCTAGTTCCGCTGGTCCTAGAAAAATTGTAACCATACAGAGAAGATGAGTGCTAGCAACTGGTGCCCATCACTTACTGTACGTTTCTCAGCTATGGATGCCGAGCCTAAAGTCGCCCTGCACGCCAAAAAAAAATGAGCCGGCACGGGCCTCATTTTGGCTGGCGCCACCAGCCATTTCGGTGTGGTAGTGCCGATCCCTGCTTGCTCCTGAATATACCACCACATATTTGATTTTCAAGCGGGGAAAGGTACTGGTGGTTTAAGACTAGCTCAGTTGGTAAGGCACATGTGGCATTCAGGAGGTCTTGGATTTGATCCCCACTGGCCTCATGCCCGCCATCAAGAGATTGACCGTTGCCCCCCCCATCGGCACTGGTAATGTTCATAGGGGGAGGGACTAGAGGGGAGGCACAGCCACTGGCCGACCAGAGGGTAGGCACAGCTAATGGCCACTCGGATCAGCCAATGGCCACTCGGATGAAGCTCGGTCCTGGTGCTATCGGCTGACCCCTGGACAGTATCGCCCACCTGATGTGGCAAGCATCGAACCTGCTGGTGGGTGCAGCTCCCTCATGTTCCGTCATTGGAGGTTTGAGCACGGACGTACAACTTCCGTAATACTATAATGATAGTAAAAAGGGGTAACTTCAATAGAATCACAAAAAACGAGTTATAATTGCCTTATGGGGCAAGATACAGTTTGCAATTGGTTAGGTCCCCCCGCCATGGTCCTAGGTGGTTAACACTAGGGTAGGACAGGGGGGGTGGGGGTGCGCCAGGGCAAAAAGATGAGAGGAAGGGTGGGTGGGGTCTTCAGAGGGGTTCATCTGGACAACCGAGTGGCCGAGTACTGTGGGTGACTGCCATCTGTCTAGTATCCCACCTCTACAACAACCTGGGCTTAAAAAATAAAAAGATACAGTTCGCAATTGCACTTCGGGCACCCTACCTGTGAAGAAAGTTGGATTGTATACATTGCCCAAATTGCAGTTTGAAACTGTATCTTGCAATTATAAGTCATTTTTGTGACTCCTGAAAATTTTCCCCTACTAAAAAGAGGCCTGAAAGACTGTTTGTCTGGATCAAACAAGCGAGGAGGAGGCTCACAACACTAGAACGAGCAAAGATTAAAATGACGTTTTTCACCCCAAGGGGAAGATTGATAAAAGCATGGAGAGGAAGACGATCAAACACTCCCCCAAGGCTAGTGCAGGCAAAAAACAAAGCAGCGATTTACATTGAAGTGAAGAGATAGACAAAACAAGAGAGGAAGAAGCTTTCAACACTAAGAAGCAAGAATCAAAGTGGCGATTTACACCCAAGTGGAAGTTTGGACAAAACATGGAAAGAGAGTTGATCAAACACTCACCCATGGCTAGTGAAGACAAAAATCAAAGTTGCAATTAATATTAAAGTGAAGAAATCGACAAAACAAGAGAGAAAAAAACTATAAAACACTAGAAAAAGAAAGAATCAAAGTGGCGCCTTACACCCGAGTGGAAGATTGAACAAAACATGAAGAGAAAAATGATCAAACATTCACCCAAGGCAAGTGAAGACAAAAATCAAAGTTGCAATTTACATTGAAGTGAAGAAATGAACAAAACAAGAAAGGAAGAAACTCTCAACGCTAGAAGAAGCAAGAATCAAAGTGACGATTTATACCCAAGTGAAAAATTGAACAAAACATGGAGAGAAAGAGAATCAAAGACTCACCCAAGGCTAGTGAAGACAAAAACCAAAGTTGCGATTTACATTGAAGTGAAGAAACTGACAAAACAAAAGAGGAAGAAACTCTCAACATTAGAAGAAACAAAAATCAAAATGACGATTTACACCCACATGGAAAATTGAAAAAATCATAGAGAGAAAGTTGATCAAACAATCACCCAAGGCTAGTAAAGACAAAAATCAAAGTTGCGATTTACATTCAAGTGAAGAAATTGACAAAAGAAGATAGAAAGAGTTATCAACACTTGAAAAAGCAAATATCAAAGTGGTGATTTACACCCGAGTGGAAAATTGAACAAAACATTGAGAGAAAAATGATCAAATATTGACCCAAGGTTAGTAAAGACAAAAAACAAAGTTGCAATTTACATG